ACGTATAATTAATATAATTAACATAATTATATAAGGAAAAAGTTTATATAAGGTTGCAACCTTAAAATTTTGAATGACAGATGCATGTCAAAACTCCATCGAAAAAAGTTGTTTTAATGTTGAAAAACCTGTAGTGCTTTGATACCACTTGTTGTGCGCAGAGGTTTTAAATCCGATGGGTTGATGTTTGGCAAATAAAGAATGAGAAAGAAAGTGTGAAACACATACAACAAGAACATGAAGACTTACGTGGTTCACCTTAGAAGGGCTATCTCGATGAGCACGACAAACTGAAATCCACGATACCAATGAAAGTTACATAAAAGATTTTGGAACAAACCTTGATAAAAACTCAAGTCGAGAAAACTTTTTTAAACCACTCTCCCTTCTTTTACTTTACTTCTGGCAACCATTACCAACAACACCAGATAGAGACGCAAGAGCAACGACAAACTTACTTTCTCTCAAATTAAAAGAGGAACAACTTAAAATCTCTATGGGAACCGTTTCCCTACAAGAAACAAACAAGCACCTCAATCTTCGGGAGTTTAAAAGAGGCAACATCACAATTTTTTTATCCAAATGAAGCTTTCTTATCTCTAAGAGGAAAATTGCATCTTATACTAAGAGGTTCTAGCTCCCTCTGTCTCTAGAGGAACCACCATTCCCATATGGTGACCCAAATAAGGCATATGAATTCTCTACACTTTTATCATATATATATTTAGGAATCTACACAAAATAGTAAACTTCTTATTGATATAACATATATCTCAAAAGATCAAGAGATAATTCCAAGAGTCTTAATCTTTTTGGATTTTCATTTCTTTTAGGAAACATATCAATATTAATCTCAATCCTTAAGGGAATATCTCAATCCCACATAATATGGGAATATCTCATAATTTGAGAATATCTCAATGTTGGTGATTTTGGATAGCACCAAATCCAGCAATCTCTACCTTGATATCAAAATCAACTTCTCACCATGCCAACATCCTTTGGATAGCTTAATGGATTATTCATCTTTTGCCAAATATATTCTTTCATCATTCTTGTTGAAAAATACTGTTTGCCATTAAATTTCTCCACCTCGAACCTTGCATTTGAAACTTTTACTACCATACCGAAAAACCCAAACCGGGCTCTGATACCACTTGTTGTGTGCGGAAGCTCTAAACCTCATGGTCTGATGTTTGACAAATAAAGAATGAGAAATAAAGCATGGCAAAACTATAACAAGAACACAAAGATTTATGTGGTTCACCCTAGAAGGGCTACATCTACGAGCACGAGAAACTGAAATCCACTGTACCAATGAAAGTTATATAAAATATTTTGGGACAATCCTCCACAAAAACCCAAGTTGAGTAAACTCTTTTAAACCACTCTCCCTTCTTTCTCTTTACTTTTGACAACCATTACCAACAACACCAAATAGAGACGTGAGAGCAGCGAGAAACTTAATTTCTCTCTAACTAAAAGGGGAACAACCCAAAATCTCTATGGGAACCGCTTCTTTACAAGAAACAAACAAGCCTCTTAATCTTCGGGAGTCTAAAAGAGGCACCATCACAATGTTTCTGTCCTAATGAAGCTTTCTTCTCTCTAAGAGGAAATTGCATATGCATAGGAGGCTCTAGCTCCCTCTCTCTCCCGATGAACCACCATTCACATATGGTGACCCAAATAGGACACACGAATTCCCATATAGTGACCCTAGGGTTTGAGGTCCTTTTTTGGGTGGGCAGGATTCCACTTTATAAAATATAACTTATTGGATATTTTTGGGGCTTCTGGCTCTCTTTCAATTCTGAAAAATGTGAAAATGTGGAAATCAATCTCCTAGCATAAATGAGGCTCTTGCGTTGGGAGGGCATCAAAATAGCATGTACAAGCCGTTTCCTAGAGACCTTTTCAGGGAGCCAAACTGGACCTTGTGATTAATTTTTGGAAATTTACTTAATAAACCCTCCCCCCATAAAATATGGGTAAAATAAAAGCCTCACATTAAAAAGAAATACCACATATATTTCTAAATAAGGTCTATTTTTCATCTAAACTGCCATCCCTTTTCCCCCCTTCACACCCCAAGTCCCTAACCGTAAAATACAGTATACCACCCCACCCGCCCTTCTCTCTCTTTTAACTTCCTTGCACTCACTCTCTCTATCTATCTATGCTCGTCTTAAGCCTTTTTCAAGAGAATTCTCTTGCATATTATTAATTATCTCGGGAATATATATCTATATCCAACGAATGGTAAGAATTGAAAAAACTCATGAACACCTATACAATGCTAATTCCTATCTTAAAATATAGGATTATACCCCCAACTTTCTCATACATGTTGATTATAGTATACACTTTCCATGGTAATCCTACAGGCAACATGTACTTAACAGCCCCCTCAAATTCAATATGCCTTAAGAAAGAGCAACTAGAGATTGGACCTTAACCAATAAAGACAACCGGTTGGGTGAGCCTTTGTGAGAACTTCGAAGTAACAAAGGGCAGAGTAAGGGTACCTTGAAGAAAATGACAGCGAACAAAGTGACAAAAAATTTCAATATGTTTCATCCTTGCCTTGGCACGTTCCTATAATCAATCTTAAATTGCACTCTTATTATCTCAAAAGCATGGACTAGGGGCAGATTGAACAAAGCCCATGCCCTCGAAGAAGTCATCGCATCCAAAGAATTTCCATCACAATATGTGCAAGAGCCTGATACTTAGCTTTAATACTGAAACGATCAAGCACATATTGTTTCTTAGTTTTCCATGAGATAAGAGAATCACCTAGGAAACATAAAGAAACAAGTAATAGAATGACAATCGGTAACATCTCGTGCCCAATACATATAACAATAAGCATAAAGTTCAAGAGCAGATGCATTGGAGACAAACAAGCTTTGAAACATTGTACTTTGAACATAGCACAAGCTTTGAAGCACACCGGCATAATGAGTAGAATGGAGCATAAACATAAACTGACTAACACATGAATGGAATGACTAATATCACGGTGATTAATGGTTAAATATTTAAGATTACCAACAATCTGTCAGTATTGATTAGGATAAAAAAGCAGCTCTTCATCTGTAGGATTAAGTTTCATATTCAATTAAAGAGTAGGATCAACAATATTATCGTCTATTAAGGTAGCCCGCTTTGGACATCTTATACATACTTGATTTGGGAGAGAATATACCTGCAACCTGATGAATCCACAAAATACCAAAGTTGGTCAAGGTATTTCCTTTCGAAAGACTTAGATGAAGTTGGAAGAAAACATCAAAGTTGGCCAAGGTATTTCTTTTCAAAACACTTAGGTGAAGTTGAGTATCGTGGCCTACAGAATAATTACCGGTGATCACCATATGAACAACATAAAGAGGCAAATGAAATATTCCCTCAAGGAGATCCTCAAACAAAGAGGGCAAAATCATGGGCATTTTGAATGAATCGAGAACAAGGATGACAAAGTAAAACTTCTCAAAACAAGTACAAGGTACCTATTTAATTCCATAAAAGCATTGTGAAACTAACAGACTTGATAGGGCTGATGGGGCAGATCGGGATGAGGTTTCATGTATGCTTCTTCAACAAAACCAACATGAAAAAAGTCATTTTTCACATCCATATGAAAAAAGAGCCAATGGCAATCAGAAGCAACAATTAAGGTCTTGACAGATGTTAGACGAGAAACTGATGCAAAGGTCTTGTCATAGCCAACTCCTTATTCTTGAGTGAACCTTTTGGCAACTAACTGAGATTCTAAATGGTCAGAGTTGGTCGTAGTTTTATCAACCCACTGACAACCTACTACAAACTTACTAGGAGGTTGATCACTAAGATCCCAAGTATGGGTTTTGTGAAAGGTTTATTTACATAATTTGTTTCCAATTTGGATCAAAGGCGCTTTATATATATATATATATATATAGGATATTGGCACTTGAAGAGAAAGAACAGTAGTCAAGAAATAATTATAATCTAAAAAACATTGAGGTGCAGATTGCACCCATATAGGATAGTAATATTCACTAAGTATGGGCCACAGCTTGTCATGAGGCACATAATTAGGATGGGGCCCATCAGATACCAAATTAGCAGGATTGGAATCAGGAAGGGGCCCTTCAAGTACATAATCAATAGGGTTAGTCATCTGAATGTCCTTTGGAGGAGGTACACTACTTGTGACAGGGTCAACATTGGATGGACTAGGTTCACTATGAATTGAATCCGTGAACAGATAAAGAAACTGAAAGAGCATAGAAGATGAATCAGAAAAGATCCAATATTTTTGAAGAGTAAAAAGGTATTTGTTCCTAGAAGGTCACATGACGGGAAATACGAAATTGGAACATAACATCAAAATCCTTTCTATTGAACATCATAACCAAAAAACACACAGATGGTAGATTTCTTAGCCAACTTATTTCTTTCAACATTAGGTTAGAGAAGAAAACATATTGATCCAATGATATGAAGTTAGATTTATCAAAACTTGATAAATATTGTCGTTCAAAGGAAGATATTCCACTAATAACAGAGGATGGGGACATAGTTGATGGCATAAACTAGTGTTCTAAAAATCGATGATCCGAAACGAAACTAGCCGATCCAAAAATTACTGGTTTTATCAAAGAACTAGGTTACCTCACTAATTTAAAAAATAATATTTATTTATTTATTTATTTATTTTCAAAACTTATATTTGTATTTACTTATGGCTCTAGCCCACTGCCGCATGTCACATGCATGGGAGAGATTTTAGCCGCCTTGCTGATTTGATATTCAAGATTGCAATGTGTTTTTAAGTCTTTTAGGCTCCCCTTATCTACCCATACTTACAATTTGGGACCAAATCATGGTGCTTTTTAAAATTTAAAGCATGATACTTTTTAAAAAGTTATTGCTGAGCCCCATGATGAGGTCTGGACTACATTCTCATCAAAGGGTAGCGGCCCAAATGTCACGTTTATAGAGGGGCCAATATGGCTTCAGACTCCTTGGCTGAAGCAACGGTCTCTTTGAATGAAGCAACTGTGTGGCATGCTCGCCCCCTTGATTTTGTAATAATTTTCATTGTATCTAATGTTGCTAGTGTTCCCTTGCCAAAGGTTGTATAAGAACTGTTCATCTAATATCTCTTTTGATTCTTCGATAAAACGAGTAGGGGCCCGATATCTCACTGATTCACCCTAAAAAAAGCCGTTCAATGATACCACTCGCTATTTAAAAAATGTGTGCCTTTTTCCTTTGCAACGTGAAAATAAGAGAATTTTATGTTTTTTATAAAAAATGGAGAAACAACACTTACCACAGTTGCATAGTATGATAGTACTAATGCTCCATAGGAAACGAGGAAAGTGTTGCTAAATGAGCATTTTACAATAAAAAAAAAGAAAAAATAAAAGAAATCACACATAAAAATAGAAAATTTTTTGTGCGCATGTGAGAGAGAGGGGTCCAATGTGTGCGTGAGACAAAAATCACATATACAAGTAATACTCAGTATTACAAAGTTGGAATAAAAGTGAAAACAAATTATAGTGCTCTATATCTTGTTGTAGTGGTCCATTTGTACACAAGATGGTATTTTATTTTTTTGTTTCCTTATATCGAGAGGACAAATTTGCCTGAAGAAGTTAGATGCATTGATTCTTGACCCGATGTTGCCTTGTAGCGAAGAAGTTAGATGCATTGATTCTTGCCCGATGTTGCCTTGTAACGAAGTTTTGAAAATAGGCAAACCGTTGGTTCCTCTTGTTACCCTCGTGTCTAAGAACTTCAATCTTTTGCCCTTTCGAAGATTGAATTTCAAACATGCGTTAGTGAACGTTGCGTCTCTACTATTTTTATGGAACATTTTTTGTCACGCGACATGAGGGAGTATGTTGAATTATATAACAATTCATAGCTTCTAAAGATTTGAGTTATAAAGGTCACTTAGGTTTTCTGGACTTGCTGAATGATAAATTAATGGGTGTGGTTTCTATGAGGTTGCAACGTTAAACAATCCAATTAAGGTGCACCTCGAAATTTTATCATAACATATAATTTTGGTGTAAAAAATTACAAGGATTATCTGAAAATCTATTTTCATATCCAATTACAACATTTTAAAGTCCAAAAAATGGTTAAAATCAAATTGATCTATAAACATATGAAAATCTTGAAAATGGACGGTCTAAATAATGTGTTGAAAAATGCATTATTTCTAGGATTCAAAGTTTTATTATTATTATCATCATCATCATCATCATCATCATCTTCATTATTATTATTCACACATCTCCATGTGGAGATGATCAATTAGAGGGTTTTCCAACATTAAAACCACTTTTTCTGATGGATTTTTGAAACACATCTTTAAGTATATATTTCATTAATTAATTTATGTACCAAAGGCTTTATAATATACTTTTTGTGAGTCATAGGACCCACATAGAGCTAGCATCGATCTTTTATATATTTTTTTGATATAGATTTTGGAACTAATTTTTTTAGGTACATGTAATCTATAACATGTAGATCACCAATATGTAAATAATTTTTTTTAAAAAAGTTAAAAATTATTTTTTTTTGAAAAATAATTTGAATCTTTACATTCTATGTTCCCAAGAGGACCACAACTTACATCCATCTTAAAGATGGATGTTTGCTGAATGTAAATGTAGAATTGCATACCGCTTTTCGATAAAAAGTCACCACTTTATGAATAGGCCAAAAAAACCGTTTTGTCGATTTGGACATAGTTAACATGATCTACTTCGAAGCCTCTCAGCATGAGCCTAGGGTGCAAGATGTTAGCACCCTGGCATTTTAGTAATCACCTTATGGTTTTCATTTCTACTAGTAGGGTCCGTCTTTCCCACTAAAGTACTAAAAAAATAAAAAAAATTAACTATTTCCCCTACGCATTTTAATTGGTTATTTTTTATTTTTTTTTTAACATTTCAACTAGCTGTCATAATTTATCATGTGAACCTCGGACCCAACCAATCAAACTAACTTAGATCTGGGTTTGGGTCCAGTTCCATGACATGGCAGTTAAGTTTGGGGCCTAAAATTATGGACCTTAGTCAGGTCTAGCCAAGACCTAATCAAGTCAGGATTAAACCGGACCAGACCTAAACTTTCTTTTTTATCTATAAATGTATATTTGA